TGTAGTCTATAGTTGATCTCCTAGTCATAGGATACCTCCCCAGTCTGCATCGGAGAAACCATATAACCTGAATGGTGACTGAGACAAGATTCTTAGACCATACTCAGTTATGCCCTTCACATACTTAAGGATCCTTTTTACAACTTGGTAATGAGTGTTGTTTGGACTTTGCATGAATTGACTTGCTAAATTCACTGCATGATCTATGTCTAGCCTTGTGAGAGTCAAATACTGCAGACTACCAATAATACTTCTGTATAGTGAGGCATCAACTGGATCATCTATAGCTTCTTATAGACCATGCTTCTATGCTAAAGGTGTGCTTATTAGCTTAGCAAATGCCATGCTAGTCTTGGCAAGTAATTCAGCAGCATACTTACTCTGATTCAGATGAATGCCTCCAGTAAAGTAGGTGACCACAATCCCTAAGAAGAAGTGTAAAGGGCCAAGGTCCTTCATAGCAAACTCCTTACCTAGTTCATTAATGATTTATGAAATTAGTGCAGTGTGACTCCCAGTGACAATTATATCATCAACATACAGAAGGAGCAGGATTGTGCCTCTTTTACAATGCATAATAAAAAGTGAGGAGTCTGCCTTACTACACTTAAACCTAAGGTGGAGCAAGTGTAAACTGAACCTGTCAAACCAGACTCTAGGTGCCTACTTAAGACCATACAATGCTTTCTTTAGAAGGCACACACTGTCAAGATGTCTAGGATCTTTAAAACCTGGTGGCTGACTCATATACACCTCCTCTTGTAGATATCCATGCAAAAATGTATTCTTTATATCTAGTTGGCTGATACACGAGTGGAGACTCACAGCTACTGATGGAACTACTCTTATAGTGGTTGCTTTAACAACTCGACTCAAAGTTTCTTCAAAGTCTACTCCTTCAAGCTGTGAATACCCCTTGGCAACTAGTCTTTCCTTGTACCTGTCAATGGATCCATCAGCCTTTAACTTAGTTTTAAACACCCACCTAGAGCCAACTATATTCATACCAGGTGGTTTAGGCACCAGTATCCAAGTCTTGTTTTGGTGAAGTGCATTTTATCCTCTTGCAACTATGCAAGCCATTCTGGTGAGCTAAGTACCTCATTTATAGTCTGTGGCTCCTTAGTTGCTACCAGACACATGTGTCTCACTAGCATGTATTTCGATTTCTGTCGTGTAACCATGTGATGGCTTTGTGCATTTTATATGTGCTCTGCTGGTTCTGCATCATCAGTTGGTGTAGCTTGTATTGGTATATCTTGTGTATCATGATTAGGTTCAGTATTGAACCAATGAGACAAGTCAACTTCAAGTTGAATTCCCTGTGGATCATAAACTGAAAATACATTAGAGTCAGAAGGTGCACTATCTTGAGCTGAGTTGTTTGATTCTTCACTCTCATCAGTCATGAGATCATTTGTTCCTGTTGGAACTGCTGCTAAAGGAGATTCAACAGGCTCATTATTGTGATAAGTTGTAGGTGTAGGCTCAGCAGTCTCATCAGGTGCATCAGTAGGAGCATCAACTGGAGACTCAGGAGTGAGCTGATCACTAGGTGATGGTGCATTCACATCAGTAGAAGGCTAATCACCTACACCAATTAATGGTGATCCATTCAACACTTTCCCTGAATTAGAAGAGTGCACATCTGGGCTTTAGGTATCCTGCAACCTGGAGAAAAACTCATAAAAGGTAGCAATGTGAGTAGAATCTCTTGACCTGTCTAGTGGTGCATCTGGTTGCACATAAGGCAATGTGTTCTCATCAAAGACCACATGTCTTGAGATAAACACTCTTTTGGTAGGTGGATGATTGCACCTATAGATTTTGTGAAGGCTATTGTATCCAATAAACACACAAGGATAGGTCTTTGGAGAGAATTTTGTTTTTCCTTTTAAGTAAGGAAAACATCTGCATCCAAAGGCCTTTAAACTATTATAATCTAGATTCTCTCCAAAGAGCTTAAAGAATGGAGTTACCATTTGTAATACTGATGAAGGTATTTTGTTAATGAAGAATACAACTATCAAGAAGGCTTTTACCCAAAGAAACTGTGGCAAGTTTGCATGAAACAGCAAAGTCAAACCAATTTCTATTATATGTCTATGTTTCCTCTCAGAGACTTCATTCTACTTAGGTGTGTGAGGGCATGATATATGTCTAACAATACCAAAGTTATCTAGATGTTCAACAAATACAGTGCTATTAAATTCACCACCTCCATCACACTGAAAAATCTTAATAGTCTTTGTGAATTGTTTCTCAACCATCTTTTGAAACTTAACAAAAATATCATAGAATTCAGATTTCCTTCTTAGTGGATAGAACTAGGTATATCTTGTACAATCATCAACAAACACTACATAGTATTTCATGTGCTGAGATGATTCAACAGGTGCTAGACCCCAAAGATCACAATGAATTTTAAACAAAGGCCCTTTTTTCAATCTTATTTCTCAATTCAAATGGAAGTTTACATCCTTTTCCTAACTGACAACTAACACAAATAGTAGGAACTTTATTCTAGTACTTGACATCAATACACTTGTTACTACTAAGAATCTTTAAAAACTTTAAGCTAGGGTGACCTAATCTAGCATGCCAAATACTGTCTGTATTCTTTCAGTCCTTTGATACAGATAAGGCATAAAAGTTATTGTCCTCTAGTGCATATAGATCATTCTTCTTAGATCCCTTGGCCAGAAGTCTCCCCGATCTCTTGTCCTTTACAACAAAATCAGATTCATCAAACTCAAGTATACAAGAATTGTCCTTAGCAAGCTTACTAAATAACAACAGTTTCTTCTTAATCTTAGGAACAACAAGGATTTTCTTTACTTTAAGTCTAGATTTTGTTGTATTGCCAATATGTGTGATGTCAAGTTTAGAGCCATCCCCAACTATTATCTTATCAGAACTATTATAAGGTTAAAGGTTTGATAGATTACTTGTTGAATTGGTTATGTGACTGCTTGCACCAGAGTCAACATACATAGCTTCATCTTCAGCCTGTGTATTCTGCAGATTAACAACAGAAATAGCCTGTGGCAGATCCTCTGTAGCCTGGTAGGAATAGTCCCACCTGTAAAAGCATTTTAAAGCTGTGTTATTGTTTCTTCCACATATTTGGCAATTTTCCTTGCCCTGTTGTTGTCTTGAACTTGCAGTGTTCTGAGTAGCTTGATTAGTCTGATTACTGCCTTGTCCTGCGGGTCTGAAACCTCTTCCTCTTAAGGAGAAGTTTGAGTTTCCTCTTCTATTAGAGTAACCTCCATGACCTCTTTCTTTTTTAGCAGAAAAAGCCATATTGTAGCCTTGTTGAGCCACTTTTTCTTCATTTTCTCTCATGTCAAATCCTCTAAGAGCATTGACAAACTAGTTTAGGGTAGGATATGGAGCCTTTCCCAGCATGATAGTCCTAAAGTTTTTGTACTTTTGACCAAGTCCTCTAGCAACTGGCTTGTGTATGGCTGAGAGACCATCACATATGCCTTTGAACTCCTCCAAATATTTATCAAGCTTTTTGGTTCCTATCTTGATGTTCTACAATTGTTGCTTAAGCTGAAATTCCTTATCCTTGGTTGCATATAGTATGCTTCCTCCAAACATTCCCGCATTTCCTTAGCAGTTGAACATCCCACAATGAGGTACATGCTTTCTTCAGCCATTGTAGCAGAGATCCAACTCCTTAGGAGCATATCGTTTTCCTCTCAGTTATTGTTGTCATCACCTCTGTCGACAGTCTTGTCAGCACCAGCAAAAGTAGATGAACTACTTGTGTCTAGCTTGCCTTACTTGATCAAGTTTGTCACCTTCATTACCTGAATCAACTGGAGTATTTGTGTCCTCCAGATCAAATAGTTTGATGGTTTCAACTTAACTGAACAAGAGGCAATCATATGGTTCAGAGAAGCAGACGATAGACACAAAGATGTTGAGGGTGTTGTTATGGCCATGTTTGATCGTGTGGTCAGCGTAACTTCAGTGTGCTCTGATACCATGTAGAAAAATACAAGATTGATAGTGTGTACACATGCCTTACTCTTACCTATAGAAATTATAGAGAGTATTTTCGTTAGACTCTCGGCTTAAGAAAGATAAAAGGAAGAAGTAACAAAATTCAATGAACAAACTATTCTTCATTTGTTTATTACTATATGTTTTCTCCAATAATTGTCGTCTTATATATGTGTTGTGTGGGTGGGTGGGTGTGGCGTGTGTGTGTGTGTGAAGATGACCTATTCGATAATGACTCCATCTGGACTAGGGGACAAGGGTTAACTCAAAGTTGCTAATCAGATCACAAATTGTAATCATGCAAGGGCGTAAATGATAATGTCATGATGTTGATAATGCTAGGAAAAACATTCGTGCATAACTACATTTTTTTGACTAACGAAAGTATATATGAAGCATTTCCTTGAGCGTACCCAAAAAAACGCTTCGAGAATGGAAATGTAAGAATTCCTCATTTGTTTTTTCTAAGATTAAGACGTCTGAATCTGAATACATATTTGAATATCAAGATGTGTATTAACATTAAGACATCTGAATCTGAATACACATCTAAATATTAAGATATGTTTTAAGATCTGAATACTAAATGATTAAGGCTGTTTGTTTTTTAAACATATGAATATAAAGAATTTATCTTTNCAAGGCTGAAATTAAAATAAAGTTTCTTATTTATACACAAGACTAACTAACTAACTAACTAACTTGATAACTTAATCCTACACTAATGCCAACTCATTAACAACTAGCTTCCAGCTGTGTAACTGCTTGTAACTAATAGCCCCAACACTCCCCTTCAAACTGAGGAATGAAATATGTTCATCATTCCCAACTTGCCTACCAAATGATCATGTTGTGGTCTGCACAAGCCTTTTATAAGCAAGCCAGCTAACTAATCCTTGGTTCCAATATGTTGAGTTTGTATTTGCCCTTCTTGAATCTTTTCTCTTACCAAATGACACTCAATGTCAAAGTGTTTTGTCCTCTCATGAAATGGGGTGAGCTGCAATCTGAATTGCAGCTTCACTGTCACAAAACAGCTGCACATGCAAGTTAACCTTCACTCTAAAATCTTTAAACAACCCAATTAACCAAATGATCTCAACCACAGTTGATGCCATGCTCTTGAATTCTGCTTCAGCAGAACTCCTGGAAATAATATTTTGTTTCTTTGGTTTCCAGGACACCAAAGCTTGTACAAACTTCACCATATAGCCTGTTACTGACTTCCTAGTTTCTACACATGCTCCCCAAACTGAGTCACAGAATGCTGTCAATTATGTGCTTCCACCTACTGGCATTAACAATCCAAGACCTACTGTGCCATTAATGTATCTGACTACTCTTATGGTTGCATCCATATGAGCCTGCATAAGAGCATGCATGTATTAACTAAGTACCTGAACTACAAAGGTAATATCAGGTCTAGTCATAGTCAGGTATAATAATCTGCCAATCAGCCTTTGGTAGCTGCTTCTATCTTCTAGCTCTTTGTCAACTGAGTTATCATTAGTGTGCAAAAACTTGTCTAGTTCTACAGAGGAGAGATTGTGATTGAACTCAAGAGGAGTAGCAACAGTTCTACTGCCTGCTAATCCCATTTCAGACACTAGCTCAAGTGCATACTTCTTTTGATTCATCAAAATTCCTTCCTTGGATCTAGATAACTCAGCCCCCACTTCCAACCGAGAGGTTGTGAGCTCGAGTCTCCCCAAGAGCAAGGTGGGAAGTTCTTGGAGGGAAGGATGTCGGAGGTCTATTTGGAAACAGTCTCTCTACCCTAGGGTAGGGGTAAGGTCTGCGTACACACTACCCTCCCCAGACCCCACTAAGTGGGATTATACTGGGTTGTTGTTGTTGTTGTTGTTGTTGATCTAGATAACTCAATATTAAGGAAATATTTCAGTTCTCCCAGATCCTTCATCTTAAACCTAGCTTGTAAATCTTTCCTCACTTGTTGAATGAGTGCTAAGCTAGTTCCAATCACCAATAGGTTATCCACATATACCAATGCTAATACAAGGTCACAACCTACCTTATGTGTGAACAAAGAATAGTCATAGTGAGATTGAACAAAGCCCATGACAGTCAGTGCACTAGTAAGCTTCAAGTTTCACTATTTGGAAGCTTGTTTAAGCCCATACAGTGACTTATGAAGCCTGCAAACCTTCTGCTGCTGCTGTAACTCCCCCTGGCTGGCAAAGCCATCTAGGATGTACATGTACACTTCTTCAAGTAGATCATCTTGAACAAAAGCATTGTGTACATCGATCTGAAAAATATACCATCTAGATGCTACAACCAAAGCTACCACAGATCTAACAGTCACCATCTTAGCTACAGGAGAGAAAGTCTCCTTATGGGATAATACATAAAATTCTCCCCGACCTATGACCATATTACTAAATACACACCTTTTCTTTCGGGGGTCCTATTACCCCCCTGAACTATTTTAAAGTAAAATTATTTACCACTTAAAAAGCTACAACCAGATGCGTGCAAAGTGGTAAAATACACCCGCCTAAAATATATATTTCTTACTTAAAAACATTTTTTCACCATTTTCTCCTTCTTCCTTATTTTCCTATTTGCAGACCTTCATTACCATATTCGGCCAAAAGGCAAAAGCCTCATTTGATGGGTTTTATATAATACTTGTTTGCTATTGTCAGATCTGGCTGGAGAACAAAACTCCAACGAAGACCCTTGCTCCGGTGAAACTCCAATGTTGTTGACCGTTTTGACTGTTCGTAGGTTTTTAATGAATAATGCTCGTTGCTCCCTCTAGGTGTAGCTCTGTTTCTTTTTTGTTTGGTTTCTTACCCGGTGTTGGTACCTGCATTGGATCCCGACTATATCCGGATTCGCGCTGGGTAAGGCCCCATTCGGGGGGTAGCGCTCCCTATCAAGGATTTTTCCATACCCAAGGCTCGAACTTGAGACATCTAGTTAAGGGAGGAGCAGCCCTATACACTGCACCACATCCTTTTGTTTGTGTGTGGCTCTGTTTTTGTTATTAAACATATCTATTTTTGATTTTTGGGTTGAGTTTACATTGTATCGAATTTTTGCTCCAGCATTTCATCGTTGAAACGATGTCCCCTTTGTTCGTCGATAAGAGGTTTAGAAGACGAAGAAGATTAATTAATTAGTTGTAATTAATTATGTAATGTCCAATCAAAAGATAACACTTGTACCTGTTAATCATTTTTAAAATTATTTTTGTAACTTCCAGTTTCCCTTAAGAGAGTGTGCACACTCTCTATGCCACGTCAACATTTAGGGTGGTCTTTATTACACTTTAGAATAGTTTAGGGGGTAATAGGGCCCCCGAAAAGAAAAGGTGTATAGTTGGTAATATGGTCATAGGTCGGGGAGGATTTTATGCATTATCCGGTATTCTTATAATCCAAACCTTCTAGTTGACTATATCCTTTGGCAACTAGTCGAGCCTTATACCTCTACACCTCACCATTAGACTTGTACTTCACATTAAACACCCATTTACACCATGTAGGAGTCGTACCTTGAGGAAGATCAACGTCCAAGTCTAATTAGCTTCTAAGGCTGAAATCTCAACTTTCATGGCCTCAATCCACTTGGGATTTGCCTTGGACTCATCATAAGACCTTGGCTCAATAATGGTTGAATAAGGTGTAAGTGATGTCCTGTAGGCAGGTGAGAGATGATCATAGGTTATATAGGATGAGCACGGCTTGGTCAACACTACATAGTCTTCCATCCATATAGGAGGCTTAGTCACCCTAGAAGATCTCCTTAAACCAGTATTAGCAGGTGAAGGAAGAGGAGGTGAAGAAGAATGATCAGTAGGAGGAAGAGAAGGTGAAGATGAAAGGAATGGAATAGGTTGATCACTCAAGAAAGGTATAGAAGGATAGGGAGTAGCTGATGGACTGAGGGAGTCAAAATCATGCAGAGCAGGGCACTCAAAATCTCTGAATTCTAGAACTGGAAACAAAGGAGATGGAATAGTGTGTAGATGTTTGAATGGGAAAATATCTTCCCTGAAAATAGTGTCTCTACTAACAAAGAAGAGTTGAGAGCTAAGGTCATACAGAACATGACCCTTATGAATTGATCAATAGCCTAGATGAACAACAGGAATAACTTTAGGACATAACTTATCTGTTTTCTTCAGGTTAGTTGCATAACACAGGCTACCAAAGACTTTGAGATGTTGTAAATATGGAGATTTGTGGAATAACTTTTCAAAGGGAGATGCACCCTTCAATATAATAGTAGGCAGCCTATTCAGAATGTAAACAGCAGTAGTAACACATTCTCCCCAAAATTATAGTGGGACACAGGCTTGAAACCTTAAGGCCCTAGCCATATCAAGAATGGACCTATGTTTTCTTTCAACTCTGTCATTTTATTTTTGACTAATAACAAAAAATTTCTCAAGATCACAATAGATTCTGCCTTATCATTCATTAAGAAAAGCCAGATAAACCTTGAGTAGTCATCCACCCAAGACATAAAATACCTCCTACCATTATGAGTAGGTACTCTGTATGGCCCCGAAACATCAGCATGTTTGAGATCAAATATATTAATAGAACATGCATTGTAAGCACGTGATTTTTGCCCTATATGAGAATTACTCCCAAAAAATTCAAAAATCAAGTAATTTTTATTGGTGTGCAATTTTGTAATATTTTGTGATATTTTGAATAATTATTTGTATTTGTCTGTGCATGTTTATTTGTTAAATTAATAAAAATACAAAAATATGTCGCATTTTGCATGTAGGATTTAATTCTACAATTGTTAGTAATTAAATTAGTTTTACAAAAATTAAAAATTACAAAAATATGCATCTTTTGCATTTTTAGCATTTAATGTCCAAATATACAATTTTATGCTTAATTATTACTTAATTGTGCGTTAATTGTTATTGGGAGTTAATTTGCGCTTTTATAACTT